CATCTCTGATTGCACACTTCTCCAGTCCTAAGAATATATGGACAATTATATAATACCAGGGTGTCACCTTTTTTTCCACCTCCCATTTATATGTATCAATTAATAATGTCAGGGAATTAATTTCATTTTAAACTTTTTCCTGCGAATAATATACCTCGAGTTTTGGTATAGCTATAAATTATTTTAAATTGCTTGAGAAAAAATGACACAATCTGAGTTCCTCGACGCCCCGCCCTTTTTCACCCAGAAGCTGAAAAAGATAAAACGGAAGCCTAGGTAATTTGCTATTCCGGCGAAAAATACTTAACCGACATCCCAACACTGGATGATATAGTTGTAGGGAACGATGAGGGATTAACCTCAAACCTCAATGATGCTCTATCCAGTTGCGAAAAAATTCCATTCATGGCTATTGAGAATGAAGGATCGACTGAAAGGATAAATGGAACATACCGCTATGTATTACGTCTTTATAGTCACCTTATTAATGGCCAAAAGGCACTGGTAACTCTTATAGACATTCAAATTTTCTTTGACATTCTCGTACCAGATGGAGAGACTCCAGATAAATGTGAAGAAAAGGTGAACAAAATTCTCTTTGGCGTTGTGAAATCATTTAAAATAAAGCACATTAAAGCTTTCCCCTTTCGGGGTTATCATACTGAAAAAAGTCATATTTATGAATTTATACGAATAGTACTGGAAAGAGAAAGAAAGCCATCCAAGCTATCCAAGAAAATAATTTTGAAACTGCTTCAGATGATTTATACTCATTCCACCGAAAGGTAGCTCGAGAAAATAGAATCCAACTCTCTGGATGGTTTACAATAAACAAATATATACGTAAGAAAGGTAAGCGGACCAACCCACTTTGTCCGCATGAGTTCTTCGTGTCTATAAAAGATTTCTGTCCACTAGAGGATTTCACAACAATAAGTGACTGATTCCCCATTTCAGCTCTCTTACGAGATCGCACTCTTATCCTTACATGGGATATAGAAATATATGCCTCACAAATGGGAGAATTTGCAGAAGTTCTTGAACAGAAAAACAAGGTCTTTATGATTGGTATGACATTATATTGGAAAGATGATCCAAAACCATTAAAACAAATCTGTCTTATTGACGTTGAAAATGCATCAGACCCACGATGGGTTACAATCATATGTGGAAATCAAGTAAATTTGCTAAAAGCTTTCACTCTCTGCTGGCGAGCATTTGCCTCTGACATTCAAGTTGGATTTAATGATTCTGACTATGATTAGCGTTTTATTATGGAGAGAGCATATCATCTCAATATACTCAAATGGATGTAAAAGCGAATAATAGGAAAGTTCGAAACAAAGGAAAAAATCCTAAAGTGGAAATATCATGGAAAGATAGGAGCAAAATCTGAAAATAATTTCATGATGAAAGGAAAGAAAAAGGATACAGACGAAGAGAGGACCATATGGGGATCAGGTGAGAAGATCGAGGAAAAGAAAGATTATATGGGAGCAATTAAGATCAAAATTACTGCAGAAGAGGATTTCTTTTTCAGTTTTCTTAAACTGCCAGGATGCGTACCAATTGATATCTGAGTGTGTCTCAAAAAACGTTATCCCCTTTCTGAAGTCGAAAAGGAAGGGTCACTTAAATTCTTCTTAAAAAAGTGTGGCCTCGACACTAAAGCTGACATGCCATATGATGAAATGTGGAGAATCTATTCAGAGGCAAAAAAAGACCCCTCTCCTTTAACTGC